CTATTCTATTCTATTCTATTCTATTCTATTCTATTCTATTCTATTCTCTATTCTATTCTATTCTATTCTATTCTATTCTATTCTATTCTATTCTATTCTATTCTATTCTATTCTATTCTATTCTAAGTTACATGGAACACAGTATCATAGAGCTGGAAAGTACCTTAGAGCAGTGATGGCAAACCTTTTGCAGTGGTGTGTCAAAAGTGCATGCACAGGTGTGCCGTCACCCAGCATGCAATGCGTCCTGCCCCCCCCCGCACATGCACGCGCAACACCCCCGCCCCACCCACTTACCTGTACTGCGCATGCGCGTCCCTCCCAGATGATTTTCAGCCCATTTGAGGACCTTTTCGCCCTCACAGAGGCTTGAGGGAAGCCTCTGTAGCCTTGGGAGGCCGAAAAAAAACGGGCCTTCCGGAAATACTGGAAGTGCCCGTTTTCAGCCTCTGGAGGGCCTCTGGAGCCCGGGTAGGCTGGTTTTGCCCTCACAGAGGCTTGAAGGAAGCCTCTGCCGCCTCGGGAGGCTGAAAACAGTCCCGTTTTGACACTTCCAGTATTTCCGGAAGGCCCGTTTTTCGGCTTCCCGAGGCTGCAGAGGCTTCCTTCCTTGAGGGCGAAAACGACCTCAAAGGCCAAAAATGGACCTCAAATGGGCACACGTGTCATAGGTTCACCATCATGGCCTGAGAGGTCTAGTCCAGCTGTCCCCCAACCTTTCCAGCCTGGCACAGGAGGGTGTGTGTGGTAAGCTCGCATGAGGGGAGCTTTACACGTGAGCACAAGCACCCTCTGCTTGCGTGGAGCTTCCTGCGCGTGCTTACCCATCACTCACACGGCCCAGTTTCAAACAGGCTGCGGCCCGGTATTGGGTTGGGGACCCCTGTTCTAGTCCAACCCCCTGCAGTCAGAAGCTTTTGTGGGCCACTTCCAAATACCGGTTTGTAGATATTTACATTAGAAAAAGGCAGCTGGCTTTCTTTGGGAGGTACCATCTTTCCTGTGCCAACTGGCTTTTCATTTTAAAAACTGCTGTCGATGAAATAAGAAGCTGGCAAGCATCCAGGGGGAGCTTTGCATCTATTTGCAACCACTTTATTTAAAACAGTTTTATACGTTTATAATGTAGCATACAAAGAAAATACAAAAGTAAATAGTAGCGAGTATAGGGAAGGGGAAAATAAGGGAAAGAAAGGGGGGAAAACAAAGAAAAAGACATTGACTTTTGATTCCCTTTGGTGCAGTAGAATAAGGCACTGAGATCAACTTTTTACTTTTCCATAATAGTATGAACTAGCCATTTCTATAACAACAAATCTATCTACTTGGTAAAACCCAAAATCAAACTTTCATTTCCCCCCGCACCTCCAGCACAAAATCCAGAAGCAGTTTCCAAGTTGAAATAAAAGTATTTGTATTTTTTCTTTTCTTTGATCAAAGCAGTCGGTGTAGCCATCTCTGCTAAACTCCCATCAATTTTTGCAGCCATTCGTCCATTGTGGGGATCGAAGTGGCAGCAACTTTTGAGGGCTTCACAAATGTCTCCATAGATTGGAGAGCGTATCTGGGAGAGGTGCTTTGTTTCTGACAACCAGGGGTTGTGGGTGACTGGCTATACCTGCCATGGCACCTACAGTTCCTTAGAACTATATACACTGCAGACTCTGAGGTGCCATATGGACCAAAAGAATTACTTATACGCAATCTGGGTGCACACACAATTCTCTCTCGGCTCACACTTTGGGCATGTTTCAATGCCACGTCTGAGGTAAACGAAGTAAAAATACTGAATGTGAGAAATATTTTTTAAAAAAACTTGGACTAGGAGCAGGGAGATCTACCGTATTTTTCAGAGTATAAGACACACTTTTTCCCGCCCTCAAAAGTGGGTGGAAATGTCCGTGCATCTTATACAGCGAATGTTACCGAAACCCAGCCCACCCGCCAGCCCCCACCCTTCGGCCTCTTGCCTTCCAGCAATTGGCCTCCTTGCAGCAAACAGCCTGATTAGCACAAGGAGCTGATTGTCAGTTGGATCGGCCTCCCGACAATCAGCTGTTTCAGGCTGCAGGGATTGCCATCGCCTATTGCCGCCTCCGCACACCCCATTTTTTGGCCTCCGCGTGCCATATTTTCCGCCCGTTCCAATCCCCGCCACCCGGAATGGGCCAAAAAATGGGGCACATGGTGGCTGAAAATGGGGCATGCAGAAGCTGGAAACGGGATGCGAAGGCCAAAAATGGAGCACGCGGAAGTGGCAATAGGCGATGGCAATCCCTGCAGCCTGGAACAGCTGATCGTCGGGAGGCTGATCCAATCGACAATCAGCTCCTTGTGCTAATCAGGCTGTGCTGAAGCTGCTGTTTGCTGCAAGGAGGCAAATTGCTGGGAGGAAAAGGCAGATTTTTTCCCCCCTTGTTTTCCTCCCCAAAAGCTAGGTGCATCTTATACTTTGGAGCATCTTGTACTCTGAAAAATATGGTAGGTTATCGTCTCAGCTCAGTCCGGACTATAGTACAGGTAATCCTCAACTTATAACTACAATTTGGACTAGAATTTCTATTTAAGATGGTTGTCACAGCCGATTTTGCCACAATGAAGTGAATGGCCGCACTTCTTAAGGGAATCATGCGGTCGTTAAGCAAATACACACACACACACACACACACACACACGTCACTTTGCTTTTCAGAAGCTGGCTGGGAAAGTTACAAACGGTGATCACAGGATCCTTAACAGTTGTTAAGTAATTATTTAATGCGATGGTAAAACCAAACCGTCACTAAACTTGTGGCGGTAAATTGAAGAATACCGGTATTTCCTCCTTCTCAGCTTTAAGAGCCAGGGTGGGAGAAAGTTGAATGTGTTAAGACTGGAAGTGAAGAGACCCAGATTCTGGTCTCTGTTCAGACACAGAACCTCCCTAGTGCTCCACAGTAGCGGCCTCTAACCTTTTGGGCACCAGGGACCGGTTCCGTGGAGACAGGTCTTTCCTTGGACCGGAGGGGGCCTGGTGTTGTGACCCAGCTCCCCAAACATGACAAACCCTCTGACGTCAACTCAAAATATTCCTTTATTAGGAATGGTGGCAGCCCCGGCAAAAAGTTTCTCTCACAGGCTAACAAGTCCGGCCGGCCGGAAGATGAATAGTTGCCTGCCACACCTATTCATCTCCACTTCCTGCCCTTTTATCCCCAGAGCTAGGATGGGGCCTTGCTAACGGCGGTAGCTCTTCCTTCCCCAGTTTCCACTGGATTTCCACTGCTCTCCTCTTCTCTGCCTTCTCTGCCTGAGGTGCATCCCCGCCTCAGGCACTGGACCCAGCTGTTCCTCCTCTTCTTCATCAGCCACCTCCAGATCTGTTGGCTGTTGACTCTCCATCTGAGGGCTGACGGACGGCTCAGGCTCCATCTCTGTCTGTCTCTCTGTCTCTCTCTCTCTCTCTGCCAGCACCATTCCCCTCTTGGATTCCCAGGTTGCCCTGATGTTGACCCTGACTCCCATGCCTCCTCCTCTGATTGGGCTGCTGGAGGGGCCGGCAGCTGACAGACCACACCCACTTGGTTTCGTGTGCTGCCTGCATCCCGCAGATGGGGCTTCGCTTGTTGTTGTCAAAAATGCACGGCCCGGTGCCAGTCCACGGACCAGGGACCGGGGACCCCTGCTCTACAGGCCAGGCACCTCTAGCCCGACTTATCTCACAGGGCTCTTCTGGAAGAAAAACACCTTGAGCTCCCAAATGGAAGGCAACATACAATCTAACTCAACTTACAACAGTTCATTTAGTGACCGTTCAAAGTTACCACGGCAATGAAAAAAGCACCGAGGACTGTTTTTCACACATACGGCCATTGTAACACCACCACCCTGGAACACGTGATCAAAATTCAGATGCTTGGCAAACTGATTCACACTTATGACCGTAGCTGTGTCCCAAGGTCATGTGGTTCCCTTTTGCAGCCTCCTGACAAGCAAAATCAATGGGGAAGCCAGGTTCACTTAACAACTGTATTACTAACGTATCAGCTACAGTGAGTCACCTAACAACTGTGGCAAGAAAAGCTACAAAATGGAGCAAAACTCACTTAACAAATGTCTTACTTAACAACAAAAATATTGGGCTCAATTTTGGTCGTAAGTCGTGGACTATCTGTAATTCCAGTGCTCTGAAACAGGTCCATTGTTCCTTTCCCTAAGTAATTCCACAGCAGGAACTTAAGAAAGCTTTGAAACCATTTGGCAATAGACCACATTAGCACAATGGGAGAGTAGAGAAAGAACCAACAAATTGTGAGGAGCACAATGAAAGTTTACATTAACTTATTATTATTAGGCTGCAGAAGATGTAAAACATTTCTAGGACAATTCAGGAAAAAGTTGGCTTTGAAATTTTGCAGTCATACTTTCAAGGCTGGACCAATGAGATTTCAGATTTACTTTTCTTGGTTTAGCTGTTATTTCAACTAAACATTAACTTGTTTTAAGTGGATTTTAATTGTCTAGTTTGTAACAGCACTAGCACTTAGACTTACAGTGCTTAGAATCACAGTGCTTTACAGCCCTCTTTAAGCGGTTTGTAGAGTCAGCATATTGTCCCCCAACAATCTGGGTTCTCATTTTACAAATCTCGGAAGGATAGAAGCTGAGTCAACTTTGAGCCGGGGTCAGAATCGAACTGCTGGAAGTTGGGCAGAATTAACCAGCAGTACAGCATTCTAACCACTGCGCCACCATGGCTCTATTGGAATTGCTTATTATTTATCCTCAATCTAATATAATTTTTGAAGCTATGTAAGAAATCCGGCCCATCTGTACTTCAGCCAAGGAGAGATTCAGAGTTCAAGGACAGTTGCTCCGATTAAAAAATGCTTTACTAAGAGAGTCCAAAGGTCCACAGCAGTCAGTCAGATGCCTATTCAAGAATTGAAAGCAAGCAGAGGTAACCTTCATCAACCGCTTTAGTCATCTTCTATGTTGGTTATATTGTATGTACAACCACTTGACCACACAAGAAACCATCATACTGACCAGTTACAGAAAAAGTCCTCCAGATTCTCATAAGAATGATCGTTATTCACCTGTAAGGCAGGCCTTTCTTTCAAGCTAAGGCCGTTAAGTCCTTGACTTTAAACAGTTTGTTTAATGTACAATGGCACTGAAAAAAAGTGACTTATGATCATTTTTCACACTTACACCCCTTGCAGCATCTCTATGGTCACGTGAGCAAAATTCAGATGTTTTGCAACTGACTCATATTTATGACGGTTGCTGTGTTCTCTTCCGTATTGATTGGAAACTGTTGTGGCCCGCCAGACTCGGACAGTGAGGAGGTTGGGGAGGAACATGGGCCAGTCCCGGAGTCTGGGGAAGGTGCTGATGAGTGTTCTGCATCAGAGGCAGGGACGGGACCAGGGCCGTCCGACAGTTATCAGCTGCCTTTGGAATTAGACATTAGTGGGGCAGAAGAACAGCTGGAGCCTGTTCCCGATGCGCACATGTGCAGAGCTGCCAGGAGAAGGGAACAGTTAAGGAACAAGGGTCGACTCGGGAGTAAAGAGGAGCGAAAAGGGGGAGTGGTGTTTGCAGGAGACAATTCATTGGTTTTATTAGTGTGAAGATTTTCTCAGAAACTCTTTGCCAAGTATTTCCTTGTACAGCTTTGAGCTCAGAACAGAAACATGCGGAAGAGGTTCTTCATCCTCCAATGAATAGACAAAGGCTAAAAAGGATGATAGTGAAATTTAGTGTCGGGGCGGAGGGGGGGGGGGCTCATGTGATTCCCCTTTTGCGACCTTCTGACAAGCAAAATCAAGGGGGAAGCCAGATTCACTTAACAACCAGGTTCCTAATTTAACTGCAGGGATTCACATCACAACTGTGGGCAGAAAGGTGATAAAAAGGGGCACAACTCACTTAAATAACTGTCTCGCTTCGCCAAAGAAATATTGGGCTCAACTGTGGTTGTAAGTCAAAGACTCCCTGCAGTTTGCCTGAACATATGACCATAATTGAACCCAGAATCACGGGTTGTAAGTTGTGCTGGTCGTTAAGCGGGTCACAGATAGATTTTACAACCGCTTGGCAGCAATCGTTACGCAAATGCAGCAATTGTAAAGGGAGCCATTGTATGCAATGAGCCTTTTTTTTTTTTTTGCTAGAAACAGGAAGTAAATTGAAGTCCTATAAATGTGGGACCCTGCAAACAATTCTAAGTGTGGGCTGGTTGCCCAGTACCCTAAATGCAATCATGGGACCACTGCAGGGGGGAAGGGAGAGGGGGCAGCTGCCAGTACTTCAAAACGGGGTCATAAGTACTGGTAGTCCTCCACTTATGATCACAACTGAGACCAAATTTTCTGTTGTTAAGTCAGACATTTGTTCAGTGAGTTGTGTCCCATTTTAGAATAGAATAGAATATAATTCTTTTACTGGCCAAGTGTGATTGGACACACAAGGAATTTGTCCTGGTGCAAATGCTCTCAGTGTACATAAAAGAAAAGATACATTCGTCGAGGGTCGAGAATCATGAGGTACGACACTTAATGATAGACATAGGGTACGAATAAGCAATCAAATCATAATAGGAAACAGCCAATATAGATCGTAAGGATACAAGCGACAAAGTTACAGTCATGCAGTCACAAGTGGGAGGACATGGGCGATAAGGAGTGATGAGAAGATTAATAGTAATAGTAGTGCAGACTTTGTAAATAGTTGGACAGTGTTGAGGGAATTATTTGTTTAGCAGAGTGATGGCATTCGGGAAAAACTGTCCTTGTGTCTAGTTGTTCTGGTGTGCAGTGCTCTATAGCTGTGATGGGGAACCTGTGGCACGCAGAGCCATTTGTGCCGGCACGTGAGCTGCAGGCAATCTTACCTCACAGTGTATGTGCATGCCTCACAGCTGATTTTCGGCTGGTGTGAGGCCTTTTTCGGCCACCCAGAGGCTTGAGGAAGGCTTCTGCAGGCCGAAAACTAGCCCCATTTCATCACTTCCTGTTTTTCCGAAAATACCAGAAGAGACGAAACGGGCCCATTTTTCGGCCTGCAAAGCCTGCAGAAGCCTTCCTCAAGCCTCTGGGAGGCCGAAAAAGGCCTCAAACTGGCCGAAAATCAGCTGTGAGGCGCAGTGCAGGTAAGGGGGTGAGGGGGGTGGGGATTGCGCATGCATGAGTAGGGGGCGCATGCATTGCCTTCTGGGTGCTGGCACGTGAGCACGATTGTGCAAGCGCACACGTGCAATTTTTGGCCCAGGAGCCCAAAAAGGTTAGCCACCACTGCTCTATAGCGTCGTTTTGAGGGTAGGCGTTGAAACAATTTATGTCCGGGATGTGAGGGGTCTGTAAATAGTTTCACAGCCCTCTTTTTGACTCGTGCAGTATACAGATCCTCGATTGAAGGCAGGTGGGTAGTAATTGTTTTTTCTGCGGTCCTAATTATCCTCTGAAGTCTGCGTCTGTCCTGTTGGGTTGCAGAACCAAACCAGACAGTTATAGAGGTGTAGATGATAGACTTAATAATTCCTCTGTAGAACTGCATCAGACTATCTGTAGAGATAAGCTCATTCAGAATGTACATAGAAAAACAGTTGTGACAAGTTGTCTATTTACAGGGGAAAGCGTTCCTCTAGCACTAAAAAGTTAGTGATAAGTTAGTAACACGGTTGTTAAGTGAATCTGGCTTTCCCATTGACTTCGCTTGTCAGAGGGTCGCAAAAGGGGATTCCCACGACCTTCTGGGAGACAATAACCGTCATAAATACGAACCAGTCGGCAGCAGCTGAATTTTGATCCCATGATGGGGGGGGGTGTGTTTCCTGCAAAGGTTGCAGCTGTGAAAAACTGTCATTAAGTCACATTTTTCAGTGCCGTTGCAACTTTGAACAGTGACTAAATGAACTGTTGTAAGTTGAGGACTACCTGTACCTTTGTGATGACCCAGGGTGGGATACAAAATAAACACCGTTACAAAAAAACAGGTGAAGCCCCTTTTATTCCTTCACTTTGCTTCCAAGCTCCACGTATCCTTGGAGACAAAAAAAACTCACACACAAACAGTTACAAAAAGGAGGAAATGCCGTTTAAATTATAAAGAGCAACACAAACCAGGCAAGATAAGGGCTTGAAGACGTCCACCGATATCAGAACACACACTGGGAAGGACGCCAAACTCAGAGAGGAACAATAAACTAGAGATATTTCCATGCTTTGTTTCCAGCACTCGCCTGTATGCATGTCTGTCCTCTTATCCAGTTGTCACAGCTGCAGCCCATGAAGAGGATCAAGGCCCTCTCCTCCCCAGTAGACCACGTCTCTCCCTTATCCTCTCCTCCCTGCGTGCCCTAGGATGGATAGGGGAGGGGCCTGGGTCCTCCTCTGACTGCTCAGCCGGCCTCTGTCCTTCCCCAGCCTCTTCCACAACCTCTGGAGCCACACTTCCACTCCCTGTTGGCTGTTCCTCCTCTCTCTCAGAGTCAGTCTCCACCAGGCGCATGACAACCTTTTTTCAGATTCACTGTAACTCTGAATGCTCACTAAGTAACTGGTTGTAAGTTGAGGACTATCTGCATTCACTCCACAGATTACTTTTCATCTAGGAATACCAGATTTTTTTTTTTTCCAGATCTTACCTGGAAAACCAACACAACCCAGGTGGCCACAAAGGCCCAACAGAGACTCCATTTCCTCAGGGTCTTGCGAAAGAATAAAGTGGAACAACGACTGATGACCTCCTTTTACCAGTTCACAATAGAAAGCGTCCTCCCATAATACTGCATTACGGTGTGGTATGCTGGCTTGACAGCCGTAGAGAGAAAGACATTACAGAGGGTGGTGAGCACAGCACAAAACATTGTGGGCTGTTCCCTGATACCATTAGATGACTTCACTAGGGCTCACTGCCTTAACAGAGGGAAGAAAAGTTTCAGGGATAACTCACACCTCAGTCAGCACTTCTTCACTCTCCTGTCATCAGGTAGGAGATATAGAAGCATAGCCAGCTGCACCAACAGGCTGAAGAACAGTTTCTACCCGTGGGCGGTCAGACTTCTGAACGGAAAATAACTTCATGTCAACATAGTAGGATAGACTTGTGAGGCCGGCGTGTTGTGCAACAAGGTCACATAATGTAATAAGATTGGGACTGGGTTAGGGACTCCTGTCCTCACTGTGAGTTGTGTTGGGGTGTGGGGGTACACAAAGGGAAGCTCAGCCAATCTCATTGTACACATGTACTCTGTCAGTAAAGGTAATAATAATCACTTGTCCAATATTAGGCCACCCTTAGCTGACCTGGTATCATCAAAATAATTTCAGACTATATCACCCATCATCCCCAGCTACTAACTATGCTGTCCCCAACCAGTAACTACGATGCCTAAGATTTCTGGAAAACTGTACAGGTTAGTATATCTGGAAGAGATACATCAGGGAAAGTTAATGAAGCATTTCAACTCCAGTCAATCTTATAGTCCAGTGTCCAAATAAACAGAGCAACTCACCTGGTGTAGGCAAGGCCAGCTGCAAAAAGAGAAGAAAAAGGACAAGACCTTTAAAAAGAAATCTGGATCGAACCAACGTGAAATATACATACCGAATCAGGATTTTGATGGGCACACAGAAATCAACACGTGTAGGCAGCTATACAAATTTAATAATCAATACATGATGTAAATACAGATAGTCCTAAAGTACAATCACAGCTGAGCCCAAAATTTTTTGTTGCTAGGCGAGACAGGTAAGTTGAATTTTGCCCCATTTTACATCCTTTCTTGCCACCGTTAAGTGAATCACTGCAATTGTTAAGTTAGCAACACGGTCATTAAGTGAATCTGGCTTCCCCATTGACTTTGCTTGTCAGGTGGTCGCCAAGGGGATCATATGACCCCAGGACACTGCAACCGTCATAAATATGAACCAATTGCCAAACGTCTGAATTTTGAGCCCGACCATGGGGATGCTGCAACGGGTCGTAAGTGTGAAAAACAGCCCTAAGTCCACTTTTTTTCAGCGCCGTTGTAACTTCAAACAGTCACTAAACGAATGATTGTAAGTCGAGGACTATCTGTAAAGTCAATCATAAATCTAAGTGAACAAAACTCCACTGCTGGGTTTCTCCAATTGATTATTTACTCCGGCATATAAATCAAAGTGTACCCTGGGGTGATTTGGGGGGGGGGGGATTGTTACCCCACTTGTAAGGCCACAAATTTGTAAGGCCACAAACTACACGTCAGCTTAGTGTAATGAAACCAGCTTGACAATATTGTGAGTTGCTGGTGGCCTTTGGGTCACCAACCTTTCTCAAAGACCACTAAATTCATAATTTTAAATCCCGCAGACCATTAATAGGATCTGGCTAATGACCGGCTAGGTGGTCATGTGACTGGGTGGGCGTGGCCAACTTGATGCCACTCACGTCAAGGGGCGCCTCACCAGCCTCTCCTCACCTGCCTGGGCTCCTTAGGGCCCCAACAGGAAGCAGTTGTTGGAGCTAAACAGCCATCACGGGAAAAAAAAAAAAAGTTGGCAAAACAGCTGGCTCAGTTTAAATTGGATCTTACCGAGAAGGAGGCTCAGCAGAAGCACCTCACTGAGGACTACGAGCATAGGCTTTCCAAGCACAGGGAAGACCTGTGGGAGTGCAAGGCCAGGTACCGGTGCCTGGAGGCTCAGCGGGCTGACATGGTCAGCCAGTTCCAGGCCATGATGCAGTCCCACTGGAACGAGGCCCTCCGGCTCTTCGCCACCAGCAGCGTTTCCCTCCAACCTTTGCCCAAAGCTCCGCACCAGGAGGCTGAAGCGGATCCCAAATAGGAATTTCTGCCCCCCTCCGACCCACACAAAAAGACCCCGAAGGGGCCGTAGTTTGAGGACCCCTGATTTAATGCAATATAAAAAATGCAAATAATTTTTCTGCAGACAACCAAAATTTTCTCACAGACCACCAATTGGTGACCGCTGCTGCAGACCCTCCTTCCAGACTGGTGGGGCAACCAAAGGGCTCCAGTGGCGGGAGATGATGGGGGGGGGGGGAGCAGCCCCCCCCCCCCCCCCCCAAAAAACCCCGCTCTCTGACCACTAAACCACACTTTTCTATTAGACCTGCCCCAGGGGTCTTCACAATTGGCAGCTTTAAGACTTGTGGACTTCAACTCCCAGAATTCCTCCTCTAGTCCTGTTAGCTCAGGAATTCTGGGAGTTGAAGTCCACGAGTCTTAAAGCTGCCAAGTTTGAAGACCCTTGGCTTACATCCTCAAATGTGGCCAACCAAGCAACCCAAAGGCGGCTGTTGGAGCTTCTTTGGAGGGAATGGAAATAAAGCAAAAGAGAAGAAGCGCAGTTTCACCTGTTGGATTTCGGCCTGTTCCCACCTTTTTTATTTTATTTTATTTTTGATTAAATCAGCCTCTTGGTTCTCCCCTTCCCTGTGCCACACCTCTCTGTACCTTTTCCCTCGCTCACCAGTACAGGTGGCCGCACAGGCCGATGACAGCTTCTCTGGCAGGCTCCAGGCAGATGTTGCATTCAAAAGCACTGCGATCGCGGTTTGACCCCTCCGGCTCCCCATCTGGGACCCCTGGACCCATCCCAGCTGCTGCCGCCGCCGCCATCTTCCGCCCTGGCGTGAAGGGGTGGGAGAGAGAAATGTAAACGCCTGCTGTTTAATCATTGGCCATTCTCGCCGTCCTTCACACTCTTGTAGACATTTCATTGGTGGCCAAGGTAATCATTTGGGGGCACCTGGCAAAGCTGATTATGTACGTTCCACTTGGTCCCGCCTTCTATTCTGTGCAGGCTCTTAAAACTTTTTTGATTGGGTGACACTTGGGTGTCGAATACGCGACTACATTATTGGTTGAAACGCCGTACTCCCCCCCCTCCCAACACACAGACACCTTAGTTCCCTGAACAAAATAACATGTCATATGACTGGAGGCGGGGGAGGAATCAAGGGGCGTGTCATGATTGACAGAAACGCCAGCCTCTCCAAGAACAAAATGACCGAAAGGTTGTGGTGGAAAGGGAGGAAAAAAAGTCTTCCCTTTCTTTCAAAACCCGCCCACTAAAAAGCGCGTGGCGATGGGACATAGCCTTGGACTTAAGGCTGGACCTGTCCTGATTGACGCATAAATTAACCAATAACAATTCAAGAAACCTTGGCTTCAAAATAGAGGCACATGGGCGGAGCTTGATGAAGTGTTGAAGCTTGTTCTTTGTAAGCGCGGGACAAAAAGCCATATAGGCAACAAGATCGAATCCCGCTATTCTGTTACTATGGCAACTGTCCAACTGTATTCCTATCTTGCGGTCAATCTAGGTTTCTGATCCAGGCTTCAGTCACAAAGCAAGTGGCTACCACAGTTGCCAAACAGCCATGAAACATGCCAAACAGCCATGAAACATACACTTAGGCAAGAAAAACCAAACGTACACATATAGACCAGGCTTAATAGTAGTAATTGCAAGAGGGATCTTGGAGTCTCAGTGGACAACCAATTAAATATGAGCCAACCTGAGCAGCGGCAACCAAAAAGCCAATGCAATCCTAAACTGTATTAACAGAGATACAGTCAAGATCAAGGGAGGCTGTAATACCACTCTATAAAGCCTTAGTAAGACCAAACCTAAAATGCTGCATCCAGTTTTGGTCACCACACTGTTGGAAGAATTATCCTTCTGGGTTCAGTTCCAAGTGGGGAAAAAGACGCTGGAAACATGGAGGCCGTTTGGAAAGATGGTTTGATGGTGGACAGGAGCACATGGCTTGGAGCTCCAAAGTGAAAAGGATGATCACATGCTTCAAGGTCAAAAGAGAAAAAGGGAGGACCAAGATGCTGAGAGACCCTTATATACCCTCTGTTGGGCCCCACCATAGAGTTTCCTGTTCCTGTGTAAGAAATGTATCCCATTGGTTGTCAGACTCCCAGGGGCAGGGGTCTTAGTTAACTTATAGGCTTTGTCTGGACCACATGGTTTCACCTGAGTGCTGACTGATGGAATCTTCCTAGGCTGGGTGGTAAGATGGGCAGAGGCCTTTGTTATGTAGAATACTCTGACCTAGGACTTAATGGCCCACCCATTAACAAAGGTGAGGGGTGAGCTTCTGCTTCTGAGGTGAGTTTCTGCTTCTGAGTTTCTACTTCTCTTTTTAGGGAACATATTCTGCCTTTTTAATATTTCCTACGATATTTCATTTTTCTAGGAGAGGGGTGGGTGCTAATGTAGAAAGGTGTCAAAATGCCTTTCTTCCGAGGATTCGATTTTCCCGCTGGGAGAGCTCCGGCGCAAGGATACGGACAACTGCTTGAAAGCTGGATCTTTTTATTTTTCAGGAAGGCGGTGGACAGCGAGAAGTCTGCGTTCCTGGGCTAGCTGGCTTCTTATGGTAAGTCCCTGGTTTTGTGAGTTGATTTCGTGTGAATATTTGTATTTGTGCTTAATGTTTCAAATCCTGTTTGAGTTTGTCTTTATTCCCGCCGGAAGCCAAATTCCGTGGGGTGCGGAAGGCAAACTCCGTGGGGTGGTTAGATTGTATTATCGGTTTTTTCTAATCTCTTTTAGCTTTATAATGGTTTTTTTTTCATATTTGTTTTGTGGCAATCTCCTGTCCATCTCTTTTGTAATTTATATTTTTTTGTGTCTTTTGTCTGTTTGTTTTGCTTATTTGGTATGTCCTGTGTTTGTAAGGGTTTCCTTTTCTTATTTGTCTAGTTTTCTTAATTACTTAGGCTTTTGTCTATAGGGATTCTTTAATACCTTTTATTGGATTCCTTTTCCTATGTAAGTTTGTTTTATGGCTGGCCTGATGTTCCTCTTGGGCTTTTCCTGTTTGAGTGACACTACTGTCTTCGTGAAGTTCCCTTTCCACAATCCTTCATTTTTTTATTTTTATTTTTTAGAGGATGGTCTCTGATTGAGTGTCTGGGTATACTTGGTATTCGTGATCAATCTGGATCATCATCATGGCCGCCTGTCTCCCCTTCGATTTTCTCTTCTGAGAGGGAATACAGGCCTTTAGGCAGCTAAGGCAGGGTGGTATGCATCGACAGAGGCAACACATGAGGGCTCCAAAGACACAAATAGTGACTATGGTTGTTGTAAGGATTTTGAGCCAATGGAAATCTGGCATCCACGAAAAGAGCCATGAAAAGTCCAGGAATGATTGCTCATGACCAATATTTTGAGCTAGCTCTTTCAGGTGGTGGATGTCCCTCCCTAGGAGTCCTGAGGTTTCGTCTAGATTGAAGCAACACATCCCGTGGAATGTTTCGCAGCCATAATTATGCTTCAAGAGGAGGAAGTCTATTGCTGCCCTATTCTTCAGGGTGGCTTCTCTGACCTCCCTCAGTTCTCTGTTAAGGGCATCCAGGGCATGGGAGATCGAATTCAAGCCTTTTGCTAGGGTACATGCTAGGCTATTCAAATTTCTAGAATTTCGCACTGCCAATCCAGGTACCCCTACCAGGGATATTGCCAATGAGACATATTCTGTTTTGGTGCGAAGGGAGACTTTGGAATCACAGTCTGAGTCTAGGGTTTGGAAGGCTCTCCTGTGTCCTCTCTGTAAGGATGGCATAAGCATGGTTAACCTTCCCAAGGTGCAGGGGCCATTGGTGGCATTTGCAGGAAGGTATGAGTAGGCTTTTAAGCCACAAAGGAAAAACCACCCTGGTGGGAGCTTCAGGTAACTATATGAGAAAGATATGGTCTCTGTGTAGTTGCATTTTAGTTCTGTGTTGCTAAGGCTGGTGCATTCTGTGACCCTAAGTGTGCTGCACCCAGTGACATTAAAGCATCTCTCAGAGGTGGTTACTGGAGCAATGTGTAGGGTGTACATGGTGTGGTCTTTGGTTTTTGTAGAGTGGCCCCAGCTAAAAATGCTTTCGTAGGAGTCAGGAAGGTTTCTAAATGTGGTGTAGTTAATGATGTTATGTGGCCTAGTTGCCACTCACATTAGGCATGTGGTTAAGATGTCCTTGACTGATTTCCCTCCTGCTAAGCAAAAGTTAGTGGTGTTGAGTATTTCCTTTGCTAAAAATTCCCATACGTTTCCTTTCTCTGGGATAAGCTTTGGTTCCAGGAACGCAGTTGCTTGTGTTACAAGTGTTACAATTGTTACAATTGTTACAGATAATAATGCATAGTATATATTGCATTTCATGTTTCCCATTGCTAGATTCCTTTTCTTCCCCCCTCCTTTTTTTAGTACAATGTAAAAAAACGGTAACAATAAAATGTAAAAAAAAGGTATAGATCAAGTCTCAAAAATTACTAAAAGGTATGGCTGAAATCTCTTCCTTGTTAAAAAAAAAATACAAAGAAAAAGGGAAAAAAGAAAAAAATGGAGAAGGTGAGAGAAAAATTTAAAAAAAATTAGAGTTTTATAACTCAGCACCTGGGAGTCCAGTTTTGTGTAATTCAATGTTTGCACTTGGTTTCTCACAGTTGTGTGGTTCAATGGTGTTGAAGAATGCTGCAAGCATCCATTGATTTGTGTCCAGATTTTTCTTGAGTTTGATGGGTGGGATTGATTGTGGTGGAGTTTGGCTATGGTCTATGACTGCTGGCTTTGCATGTGTCCAATGTATCCAAGAGTCTCATTCTGCAACCTTTATGGTGGTATGTGTAGTTAGTAAGACTTGGTAGGGTCCTTTCCACCTGGGTTGTAAAGGTGAGGTTCTGGTGAAGAACTTGATCCACACCCAATCTCCTGGCTCATATGGATGCAGGGCTTCTTCCAGGGGTAAGGTCTGTGTCAGCGCACTCTGGGTCTGGAGGGTCTGGAGTCTCTTTTGCAGGGCTGTAAGATAAGAAGAGAGAACCCTATCCCCCCTATCTAAGCAAAGGGAATGAGGATCTAGGCCTTGTAGGGTATCGGGGGGGTCGACCAAAAAGGATCTCAAAGGAGGAAATACCTATATCTTGTCTTGGTCTAGTTCTGATATAAAAGAGGGCAATTGGGAGCGCTTATGGTCAGGAGAGGTATGTCTCCTGACAGAGTTTGCCCAGTAGGGTCTTCACCTCTTTGTTTTCTCTCTCCACGGCTCCTGATGATGTCGGAGAATAGGGCACATGGAGGTTTTGGGTAATGCCCAGAGCCTGGAATATATGTGTGAGGACTTGTGCTATGAAGTGTTTTCCCCTATCCATGTCCAGAATGGTGGGGACCCCGAACCTAGGCACAATGTCCTTGAGGAGATGTCTGGCTGTTTCTAGGGCAGTAGCATGGCGGCATGGGAAGGCCTCTACCCAGTGGGTTAGTTGGTCCTTGCAGACAAGAACATATTGATACCCATTTGCCTTAGGTAGCTGTATATAATCCATTTGGATCTTTTCAAATGGTTTCTGTGCCCAGGGTCTTCCTCCTTCATGAATTGCTTTTCTGGAGGTGGTATTATTTGCTTGGCAGGTTTGGCATGTCATGGCTATTCTTGTAGCCTCACTATAGGCTCCAGGTGCATACCATACCCTCCTGATGGCATCTACCATAGCTTGTGTGCCACAATGTCCCTTTGTATGTAGTCTTTGGCAAATTAACCTAAGGAGACGTCATGGGGCTATAGGTCTGCCATCTGGG